GGTGATGATAGAGCAGGGCTTCCCTGCCCCTCCCCCACAGCCCTCAGTCCGGATCTGCCTCCATCCGGGCTGCCCACCTGTACCCTGCCTTCTCACAGTGACCTTGCCGACGCCTGCTTGCTTTTTAACTGTTAGGTCCTTAACACAGAGAAAATTATGGAATAACATAATTATTGGTTGGGTACCCAGCACCAAACCATAGTCTTTTTTTAAAAAAAGATTTATTTATTTACTTGAAAGGCAGAGTTACAGAGGGGCAGAGGCAAAGATGGAAAGGGAGAAAGGGAGAAAGGGAGAGAGAGAGAGAGAGAGAGAAATCTCCACTGCTTTCCCAGGCCAGAGCAGAGAGCTGGATTGGAAGTGGAGCAGCCGGGACTCGAACCGGTGCCCATATGGGGATGCCGGCACTGCAGAAGGCAGCTTTACCCACTACGCCACAGCACCAGCCCCCAGCCACAGTCTTAACTTCTGGTCCTAATTCGAGCCTATATTTCTAGAAGAAATAAGACATGAGATGGAGTTGAAGCCCCCTCCCTAATTTCATTTCTCCTGGAAGTGATCTGCTGTGGACCGTGGATTTGCTGTTTATCACTCCTGTGTGGGTTTGTGTTGGGGTTTGGTTTTTGTTTTTGTTTTTCACTTTTATTTGAAAGGCATAGACACAGAGATTTTCCATCTGCTGATTCATTCCCCAACTGCCCATAACAGCCAGAGATGGGCCAGGCCAAAGGCAGGAGCTGGGAACTCCATCCAGTTCCCGGGCTGTCACCTGCTGCCTCCCGGGGCGCGCACTGGCAGGACCCTGGGTCAGAAGTGGAGCAGCCAGGGGGCCCCGGCGCTGCAGTACGGGGGGCAGGCATCCAAGTGACGACCTCGCCGCCACACCAAGGCCCGTGTGTCATCTCACAGCCTCCACACACGGTGCCTCGGGCGTGCGGGCTCTTCCGGGTCAGAGGTTATGTGTGCTGTGTTCCTGGGGGTTCCTCGTGATGCCCTCACACCCTCCCAGCTATTCGTGGCCCACGTGCTGAACGTGCTGCAATGTAGGTCCCTTGTCTCCTGGATGTGGACCCTGCCTCCGGTGTTTTGCCATTTCCCCAAGGCCTTGGGAACCACTGCCGGCCGCGGGGAGTCTACAGAGCAGAGGCGTCGCCGGCCGAGGGAAGCCCTGTTGGCACTGGGACTCAGACAGCAAAGGCAGCCAGGGCCATGGTCCTGGGCAGCCCAGCCCCTGGGGTTTTTCTCTCGCTGGGCGCAGTTTCATTCATCCCTCAACACCACCAGGTACCCCTTGCCCCTTCCCTGAATTCCAGAACAGTCTGCCTCCTTCCTCGCCTCACCTGCTCCTCTCAGCTTGACCGGCCACGCCCTAGACTCGCAGAGCTGTCGCTCGGATGGGACATCTCATCCCCTAACTGAGTCCCTGTCCCCTGCCATGTGCTCAGGGCCTCCACTGTCCCCAGCACGTACTCACCGCCCTTCACACAGGTCCCTGCCACTCTGTGGCAGAAGCTCCGATGAGGCAGGGCCATCTCCGACCAGTTCCCTGCTGGGCCCAGTAGATGAGGGAAGAAGTGAATGGGGTAGCATGCCGTCATTCATTCATTCCACCAGCACTTTTCCCCCAAAGTAAGTTCTTGCGGAAGTACAGTTCACATCCCGGAACATTGGCTCCTCACTCAGAGGATGCCATCCCGGGCATCCGAGCGGATGCAGCCGTCCGAGCTGGTCACCAGCGTCTCGGTCACGAGCCAGGCACTGTGGAGGGAGCTGCGATAAATCACTGGTTCAAACAAGGTTTGGCTCTCGTTGAATCTCCAATCGCAAGCCGGTGGTGCCGCGAGAGTGGATGCTTGCTTGATCCAGGGACAGTGTCCAGGAGCTGAGCCTGGTGGGAGGTCTTTAGGCCACGGGGGTGTCCTGAGAAGGGGCCCAGCTCACCGGTGGCCTTTCCTCCCCATGTACTCCACCGTGGCCCTGGCCGTGGCTGTCCTGACCTCAGACTGTGAACCTCCCAAACCGTGAGCCACAATAAACCTCCCGCGTCACTTCTCGCAGGCATCTTTTGTGTGATTTTTTTTTTTTTAAGATTTATTTTGTTTCAAAGGCAGAGTTAGAGAGAGGGCAGAGAGAGAAAGGTCTTCCATTTCCTGGTTCACTCCCCAAATGGCCACAACGGCTGGAACTGGGCTGATCCAAAGCCACGAGCCAGGAGTTTCCTCCAGGTCTCCCACGTGGGTGCAGGGGCCCAAGGACTTGGGCCATCTTCTACTGCTTTCCCAGGCCGTAGCAGAGAGCTGGATCGGAAGTGGAGCAGCCGGGACTTGAACCAGCGCCCATGTGGGATGCCGGCACTGCAGCCGCTTGTCTGTGTGATCTTAATCAGGGAACTGTTTGCTGATTTCCGGGAAATGAGAAGCAATGTGTGCCTCTCCGTGGACGTTTCTTGTTCTGTTGAGCTGCTGAGTCCAGGACCCTTCCTGGCCCCCTGTGAGGGGCCGTGGGCGACTGTCGGGGGGCGGGGGGGGAGCGGTCCTGCTGCCGGAGCTGAGGTGCTTCCTGGAGAGGGCCCTGGAGAGAGGCTCCTCTCTCGCCAAGCAGTGTTCCAGGCCCGTGGACTCAGGGCCTCCCCAGGGCTCCGTCAGCCTTCACATCTCTACGTGCACGGCTCCCCACCCAAGGCGGGCCCGGTTCTGCTCTCTGTGGCCTGTGACCACAGCGGCCCCTGCTGTGGCCTGAGCTTGGGGAAGCAGAGGGGAGCCAGCCCTAGGACCCCGTCACCGGGAGTCTCCCCAAGGGCCCAGGCCCACGCTCGCTTTGTCTGCAGCATGGCTAGGCGCCTTGGAGGTGCAAGGCTTCTCTGTGGCCACAATACACGCGAACAGATGCTGGGACAGAAGTGGTCGGCCGCCCGAGGGGTCTGCCTGCGCTGGGCCCCGGGACGAGGCGTGAGGTGTAGCGGCCGCTGCTCTGGCACCAGGTGGGTCGTCAGCCCGGCGGCCGTGAGCTCAACCTTGCTGTGGGTGAAAGGACACACACCCGCGAGGAAATGTGTTTATCACGCGGGGAACTCATGCCATCGCTGACAGTGTGCGGTGAGCAAGATGGATGATCTGCCAGGGCGGCCCTCGCACGGTGCGTCGGGGGACACGGGCCGTGCAGCGCGTACAGAACTGACGCTCGCTGGGTTTTGTATCCAGTTGTCTGGTGACCCCGGGGGCGAGCGGAAAAGAAATTCGATTTGTAGGATGCGTATCACCGCCAAGATTTATAAGGACCGTTTCTGCCTTTCACGCCCGGCGCATGCGCGTCTCGTCCGGCCCTCCGGGGTTGTCTCCTTAACCTGATTTGCCAGGTGGAGGACGCGGGTCGGTGCCACACGGTGGAACTTTGCACCGCCTAGGAGAATCGGCGGGTTCCCCGGTGACCCCCCCCCAGCTGTTTTACTTGGAGTTGGGCCTTTTGAGGGAACCTAACCCGGAACACTGCCTGTGTTTGTCCACCCTGCTGAGTTCAGAGAGAGTGGTTCACCTGGTGGATAGGGGGCGTCCGGCATGGATGCTTGGTTGCACGCTGATTAGGTTTTGTTTGGGGTTATGTGTATCCCACACAGGTGAGGGGTGTTTTAGGGTGCTGCTGTGTTCCTGGGGGACCTGTGAGGGCTGAGCAGGCAGCCAGGGAGAGACGACCTTGGCCAGTCAGGGGCCCCTCCTGCGTGGCAGCGGGGTGGGAACTGTGTCCGCCTTGGTGGGGGCAAGGAGACCGATGGCACCGAGGCACTGAGTCGGGCCAGAGGAGGATGTGTGCCCCGGGCAGCCCTGTGGACCGTTAGGAAGTGGCCCAAGTCTTTACTCCAGAGACCCCCAAACCGGACCCAAGCCTGTCCTGCGGGGTCTCGCAGGTGAGGGTAGCTGAGGCCAGAAGGGGTGGCTCAGCGTGGGACGCCACAGGTGCCACCCACGGGCACCTGCAGGGACCCAAGGCGAGGCCCACCTCCACAAAGGACGCCACGTGGCCCACCCAGCCGGATCGCTGTGGTGTAGACAGAAAAAGAGCTTGGCTTCCCAAGCCAGTGGGAGCAGCAAGCCCTGGGGTTGGCCTGCAGCTCTGTGGTGGAAGCGCAGGCCAGGCCCCCGCCCTTCTTGGGTGCCCGCCACCCGCGGGAGTTAGGCCACAGGGGAGCCTGTAGCAGCCTTGGGGGTGTGCAGGTGACACAGTGCTTAAGGCGCCTGCGCCCCACCTCTGAGTGTCTGGATGTGCACCCCAGCTTCCTGCCAACACACAGCAGGCAGCAGGCGGCGGCTCACAGGGGAGTCCTGGACCGAGTTCCAGGCTTCTGGCTTCAGCCTGGCCCAGCTGCTGTTGGTAGGCATTCGGGGCGTGAACAGTAGATGAGAGAGTCCCTCCCTCCCTCCCCCTCCCCCTACCACTACCACTCTCCCCCTCCCCCTCCCCCTCCCCCTCCCCCACTCAGAAAGCTTAAAAATAAACATTCTCGGACCCTCAGACCTGGAGGCCTGTGGTTCGAGGGTCTTGGTAACCATGGTGACTACGTCACGGGCAGCCCGCGTTAACAAGGCCCCATGCGTCGCGTGTGGTCTGGAGCACGTGGCCTGACGCAGGCCGCCCTAGGCCTTGCGCGTCCTGAGAATCACGGGGCTTCCCTAGCAGAAATCGCGACAGTGACAGCGCGTGTTGGGTAGGGCAGACGCTAAAAACTATCAGGGCTAGAATGCCCTGCTAGGAAGTCTTCGGGAGCCTTTCATTAAAAGCACTTATTTTTTTTTAATCCTGCCGGCGTTGTTTTTTATTTTACTACAGAAAATCAGAGGTCACCCTGGGTCAGGAAACCCCACAGCCGTTCGTTAAGATCCATGCCACGTGCCGCGTGCCGGTGCTGGTGCCGGTGCCGGGGGGGGTGTGTCCCCAGAGAAGGGCAGGGCCGTGCCGGGTGACCTCACCTGTGTTCAGTCCCGCTTCTCCCTCTGCTCTGCCTACAGAGAGCACCCCAAAGACCTCCGCCAGCTGCAGCCCTGCCCCCGAGTCCCCAATGAGCTCCAGCGAATCCGTGAAGAGCCTGACCGAGCTGGTCCAGCAGCCCTGCCCCGTCATCGACGCGAGCAAGGACGGCAAACCGCCCGAAGCCAGCGACCCCCCGGCCTCCGACTCCCAGCCCAGCACCCCGTTGCCTCTCCCCGGACACTCGGCCCTCAGCATCCAGGAGCTGGTGGCCATGTCCCCCGAGCTGGACACCTACGGCATCACCAAGAGGGTCAAGGAGGTGCTGACGGACAACAACCTAGGTAGGCCCGCAGCCGGGTGTGCCACTAGCAGGGCGCCTGGGGGCCAGCGCGGGTCACTCCCGCCCAGCACCGTCTGCCTGGCTCGTGCCCAGCAGAGCGCCGGATCCTTGCTGGGCCACAGAGCTGGGCCCAGTCCACCCGGCCTGCAGCCTCTGGGTGTCTGCGAGACTGGGTCCAGCTCCTGGCTCCCGCACGGCACCTGTGATGCGGGCAGGCACCTTGGACCCTCGGAGCCCCTCGGTAAAACCTGAGCGGTGGTGGCCTGCCTGGGACGGTGGGAGCCTCTGTTCTGAATACAGGGCCTGGCTGCTGGCCGTGGTCTCTGGTCACTGTGGTTCCTGCTGCCCGTGACCTCTGTTCCCCACGCCCATACACACACACACACACACGATACACGCACGACACACATGTACGTATGCCCACACATGCATACCTGTGCATACACATCACACACACAAACACATATGCACACGCGACTTACCCACCCACACACGCACACCTGCACACACATATCCATGCATGCACATGCACGCCTCACACACTCAGACATGCACATGTCTACACACCACACACACACCCACAAGTGCACATATACCCACACACATATCTGTGCATACACAGCACACACATGCACACACCTATCCATGCACACCTCACACACCCATACATATGTGCATATGCCTACACACCTCCATACATGCACACCGCACACATGCACACAGGTACACGTGCCCACACAGAGAGATACATACACATACACATGCATCACACCACACACACACCATGTACATGCCTGTACCCATGCATGTATGCCACACATGTGCCCATGCATGCAATACATGTCCACACACAGAGATACACATCCCATGAATACACACCACACACACCCATCATATACGCACACACACACAGCCATACATACACACACACACACACACACACACACACCGTGAGCACACCCGCCACGTGTGACCGGCACAAGCTGCAGCCTCCCAATGGAAGACAGGGCACAGAGGGGCACAGGTGACCCGCAGCCGCCCCCGGGGTCCTCTGGACCCTGTGTGGGATGGAAGCATTTGTGGGTCGGCTTCTTGACGCGGTGCGGAGTTGGTGTCTGACCGCGTGGGGTCTGCAGCTGTCTCCAGGTCCTCAGACAGCCCCGAGTCCACGAACCCTGCAGAGCCCAGCTAGGAAGCCTGTGGAGTTCAGTGAAATCGGGGGTGAGCGTGCGCACTGCAGGGCAAGCCCCCACTTGCAACGCCAGCTTCCCAAATCAGCGCCGCTATGAGTCCCGACTGCTCCACTTCCAGTCCAGCTTCCTGCTGGTGTGCAAGTGCTGGGGCCCCTGCACCCATGTGGGGGACCAGGATGAGCTCCTGGCTCCTGGCTTCAGCCTGGCCCAGCCCTGCCTGTTGTAGCCATTTGGGGAGTGAACCAGCAGGTAGAAGCTCTCTCTGTGTCTCCCTCTCTCTCATCACTCTGCCTTTCAAATTAATAAATATCTTTTTTTAAAAATTAGGTAAAACTGACTTAAAAACAGCCAGAACCAAAAACCAGGAACAACTTGGGACATTTACAGGCTAAAATAAAAATTTGGAGAGCAGAGAAATTATGTGTTTACAAAGTCAGTACATGTATCTTTTTAAAAAATACTTTATTTATTTGAGAGGCAGAGTTAGTGAGAGGGAGAGACAGAGAGAGAGGTCTTCCACTACTGGTTCACTCCTCAAATGGCTGCAACAGCCGGAGCTGTGCAGGTCCAAAGCCAGGAGCCAGGAGCTTCTTCCAGGTCTCCCACGCAGGTGCAGAGGCCCAAGGACTTGGGCCCTCCTCCACTGCTCTCCCAAGAGGAGCAGGCGGGACTGGAACCAGTGCCCATGTGGGATGCTGGTGCCGCAGGCGGAGGATTAACCTACTGCATGCCACAGCGCCAGCCTCAGTAGCTTTATCTTTGCATGAAAGTGGTTGAAACCAAAAGTGAATTTTGCAAGTCCAAAGTTTCCACACGGTGAACTCTGGCTCAACAGCGCCGCTCATCTTCCCCCCCACCTTCCCCGACAGGGCCCCGTGTGCGGCCCTGAGTCGTGGCTGGGGTGCGCGGCCCTGAGTCGCGGCTGGGGTACGGGAGCCAGTGCTCCCTGGTCCCCTGCTGCCCCGGGGACGGGCTGGCCCCTGCCTGAGTTTCCGTGGGCCCAAATGCCGGCCTCTGGGAACCCCATCTCCACTCCCCATCACAGCCTCTGTCGCTCAAGTTCTCCACCAGGTCACGTGGACTGCGTGTGCACTGGCCCTCTTCCCCCAGGGTGGAGCCAACCTCCCTCCCTCCCTCCACAGCCCTACGGGCTCTGACCAGCCCCGCCTGAGCACTGAGCTCTATCCCGAAAGGGCAGACCGCAGGGCAGGAGGCGGCTGGCCTTCAAACCCCGTGTTCCCCGCAGTGACCTGGGTCCAGTGTGTGGTTTTCATGCCAAGACCCTGCATCAGAGATGCAGGAGGCTCCTGCCCTCCCCGCACACCCCGCTGTGTGCCACTTAAACTGGGCCTGGCTGTGGGGTTCGGCAGGTGCTGAGAAGGGGCACGGGCTTACCATCCAGTTCAGCCGAAGCCTGGAGGTCTCTCTAAGAGAAGGGTCCCAGGGTGGGCGTTAGCAGGGAGCAAGAGTGCGGCTTGAAGTCGGGGCTGGGGAAGCGTTGCCATGCGGGCGAAGGGCTGGCCTCGGAGACGCCGGTGCCTGCCCGCGACCTTGACCTGCACTTGTCCATTCCAAACCCTGTGCTCAGACCGCCTCTCACTGGCTGTTTCCAGGTCAGCGCCTGTTTGGGGAGACCATCCTGGGACTCACCCAGGGCTCCGTGTCCGACCTCCTTGCCCGGCCGAAGCCCTGGCACAAGCTCAGCCTGAAGGGCCGGGAGCCTTTTGTGCGCATGCAGCTGTGGCTCAATGACCCCAACAACGTGGAGAAGCTGATGGACATGAAGCGGATGGAGAAGAAAGGTGAGCCCCTCGGCTGTGGCCGGGCGCAGCGGGCGAGGGGTCTGGGTGCCTAGGAGCACTGGGAAGGGTTGTCAGTGCTCGGTGCAGCAGCTGCACGCAAAGATTCGCTTCTCACTCAGGAGGGGGCAGCACTGCACTGGGCGGGTGTCGGTACAACCGCACCGTCAGTGGGGGCAGGCGTTTGCCCGGGGAAAGATGCCCGCGTCGTGCACCTGAGCACCTGAGTTCAGTGCCCGCCTCCAGCTTCCTGCTGATGCAGACCCTGAGCAGGTGATGGCTCGATTCATTGGGTTCCCGCCATCCGCAGGGGAGACCCCCACGGAGTTCAGCCCAGCCAGCTCAGCCATTGCAAGCATGTGGGGAGCAAACCAGCAAATGAAAATGCTCTCTCACTCTCTGCCTCTCAAATAAGTAAAATTTTTCTAAGATTAAAAATTAAAACAAATGTATTTTGTGGCTTTGAATCTCAGGTACACAGAGGCTCGGAGCCACCCCAAGGCCACCCGGGCAGGAGCGGGCAGCAGCGAGCCCCCTGGGGGTTGTTGTCAGGCCTGCAGGGTCCAGCTTTCCCAGAGGGACAGCCCCACAGCGCCCCTCAGGTGGTGGCTAGTATCGCAGGGGACGATGCCCCAAGGGGCAGGGCCTCGGGGGTGGCCATCTGCAGTATGGGCACAGGCCCTCCCTCGGGGCCCCCAGCCACCGTCCCTTCCCATGCTGTAAGCTCCCTGGGCCATGGAACCCCAAGCCCTTAGACACAAAGACAGGGCTGCGGCTGCTGGACCGGCCTTAAGCAGCTGTGACCACCGTCCTGGGCAGCTACCTTGACTGTAAGCAGCCGTCACAAGTGCCGGTGTGGCTCTGCCTGACACCGGCCAAGTGTCACAGGTCTCACCCTGTCAGGACAAGGCCACGGCTCCAAGAGGGCTCCAGCCTGGTGGGGCTGGGCCCTGTAACCGGACTTCCGCTGCCCATTTGCCTGGCACCCCACTGAGACCTCACCCAGCGAGAGAGAGCTCCACTCCTTGGCCGCGTGGGCTCCGGGCGCCCTCTTGTGTTACAAGGGAGTTACTGTTCCGGGGGCCCAGGTACACCCAGCATCCCCAGAGCGGTGCGGTCCCCGTGGCTCCCCTGCAGCTGGAGGCATGGTGGCTGCTGTCAGCTCCCGGGCACGCACCCCGGGTGGGGGCGCAAAAGACCCGCTGTGAACTTCTCTGGCCTGCTACTCTGTTCTTTCACCAGGCGGCCCTGCATCGGGCTGCCGGCACGGTCCCAAGCACACCACACACAGGCCCGCATGGTGCCTCTGCTGTCATGGGGCTCGTATCCCTGGTGGCTCCACACAGACCCCAACAGCCGGTGATCTCTGCCGGGCACCCACGACCTGGCGGCGGTGCTGCTGGCGCGTCTCATCCACGTGCTTCGGCTCCTGGCCGCTCAGAGCCACGCTAGGAGGCCCCGCAGGTCCTATTCCAGCCCAGCCGGCCGGGCAGATCAGCATGCAGACCCCCCTCGGGCCGTCCCCAGGCCTCAGTGCCACACCCTGCCCTGTGGCAGCCTGCCCGCCTCCCAGTCACCCCCTGTTCCTCAGGCACACAGCCCCTCCCCGGGAGGTGACCCTGCTGCCCCTCCCTGGAGGTCCCTTCCCAGCCCTGCCCACCGCCAGCCTCCTATGCACTCCGCTTTTCTCAAGCCCCCGGGTGCAGGATCCCTGCCTTCCTCCATGCCCACGAGAAAGCCCCAGTGGCCACAAGTTCTCTGACCTCAGCGCTTGGCCAAGCCGGGACCCATGCCCCAGCCACCTTCTCCCCCACCGCCTCCTCCCCGGCCCTGCTGGACAGTCTCCCAGTCTGACCAGGCTTGGTGCCACCTTCAAGTGGCGTCTCCAACTTGCGTGTGGTCCCAGCACTTCTCCCCACCACTGACACCGCTCATGCGACTCCCTCCCCAGCCCCTCCTCACTCTGCAAATCCCGAAACCTGGTCAGCGCACCCCTGGCTCCCTGCCCCCACTGTGCCCAGCGGTACCACCAGCTCACTCACTCTTTCTTTTCCTTTTTTTCTTTTTATTTATTTATTTATTTATTGAAGAGGTAGAGTTACAGAGAGGGAGAGGCAGAGAGGTCATATTCTTCCATCCTCTGGTTTACTCTCAAAATGGTTGCGGTGGCCAGAGCTGAGCTGATCCAAAGCCAGGAGCCAGGAGCTTCCTCCTGGTCTCCCCTGCAGGTGCAGGGGCCCAAGCACTTGAGCCATCTTCCGCGGCTGTCCCAGACCTTAATTACAAGGCTGGGTTGGAAGTGGAGCAGCCAGGACTTGAACCAGTGCCCATATGGGATGCTGATGCCACAGGCGGAGGCTTAGCCCACTATGCCACAGCACCGGCCCTCTACCAGCTCTTTCTGCTGAGCTGGAAACGCTGTCGCCCTCTTTCTAACCCCACTCCAGCTTGGATTTCCCTCTCCTTGTACAGTTAGCTTCTCAAACTGCCCTCGCTTCCTCCTCTCCTCTCCCCTCCCCATCCCGCCTCCCCAGCCCTGGCCCTGGGTCCTCACCCCTTCCTTCCTGCAGCATCGGGGATCCGACCACCCTCCTCCTCGAGGGCAACGCCCTGGCTTCCCTCCCCCCCCCCCCCCCCCAGCTCTGCACAGCCCTCGCGGCTGCTTCCCCGCGGGACCTTGGCATGTGGGAGCTGTCCAGGGCTCCCGCTTCGGCCACTCCCTCTCGTCCATCCCTGTCACTGACTGTAGCGTCTGTCCCAGTGGATCCCTAATTCTTTCTCTCCAACCCAGAGCTCCTTAAATGAAACCTTTTCACTTCTCCCCACGGCCCTCTGGGTCCACACTTTGGCCCCGCCCTACTCTCCTGTTCCGTGTCCTCCTGCCGGCGCCACCACCCACTGCATGCACGCACACACGCACGCACACACATTAACCACGCTGCTGCGTGCTCCCGTCTCTGCACACACTGTCCCTACTTCCTGCACTGTCCCCTGCCCTCCTCCACTTCTGGTCCTCCACCTGCGTCTCCCTGCTAACCCTTCTTTAAACATCCTCTCCTCCGGGCACGCCCCCGGCCCCTCCCACCCTGTGCGCCATCTCTCAGGATCCTATTCTGCGTTCCCCACAAAACAGCTCAGGTGTCAGGGTCAGGTGCGTCCGGGCGCGTGCGCCGAGGCCAGCGTGGCTCTCATGCAGCGGCTGGGAGACGCGGGCCTGGACCTGAGCGGGACGTCTTCCCCTCCCCCTCTGCAGCCTACATGAAGCGGCGGCACAGCTCGGTCAGCGACAGCCAGCCCTGTGAGCCGCCCTCGGTGGGCGTCGACTACAGCCAGGGCGCCAGCCCGCAGCCCCAGCACCAGCTGAAGAAGCCGCGCGTGGTGCTGGCGCCCGAGGAGAAGGAAGCGTTGAAGCGAGCCTACCAGCAAAAGCCATACCCGTCACCAAAAACCATCGAAGAGCTCGCCACCCAGCTCAACTTGAAAACCAGCACTGTCATTAACTGGTTCCACAACTACAGGTAGGCCCCGCCCCGCCCCGCCCCGCGCGGCCAGCCTGGCGCGTGCACGCGTATCCTGAGCGGTGGGTACGTGTCCCTCAGGGACTTCGTGCCGCCGTCTCGGGCTCTCTCGCGTGTCGTCCTCCATGTTAGCCTGACTCGCTTTGCAATGGAGCAGAGGCAGGGCTCCCGCAGGATCGGCCACCAGCCAGCGGACACAGCGCTGTGCACATCCCGCCAGCAAGCAAGCCAGCCTAAGAGGGGCTGGGTAGCCTACCAGGGCAGGTCCCGGCCCAGTGCTCTCCGGGAGGAAATGTCTAGAAGTCCACCACAGGCACGGAACTGTCCGCCCAATCCCTACCCGGGCCTCACCCAGAAAACCACGAATCCTGCACCCATGCCTTCAAGGCTGGCTCCCACCCCAGCAAGGCTTCCTCTAGGAACTGGGGCAGGTGCTCCTGGGCAGGCAGCGCCCCTGCACGTGTGGCTGACGCTGCTGGTGGACAGCTGGGAGGTGGCAGGCAGTGGGAGCGGACGCTCCCGGGCAGGCAGGAGCCCCAAGGGATGAGTGCCCTTGGACATTGAGAAGTTTCTCAGTGGGCCAGCAGGTAGAGCCACCACCTGCTGTGCCGGCATCCCATATGGGCAGAGGTTCGAGTCCCGGCTGCTCCACTTCCGATCCAGCTCTCTGCTATGGCCTGGGAAAGCAGTGGAAGATGGCCCTATTGCTTGGGCCCCTGCACCCCTGTGGGAGACCTGGATGAAGCTCCTGGCTGCTGGCTTCAGGCTGGCCCAGCTCCAGCCATTGAGGCCATTGGAGAATGACCTAGCGGTTGGAAGACCTCTCTCTCTCTGCCTCTCCTTCTCTCTCTCTCTAACTTTGCCTTTCAAATAAATAAATAAATCTTAAGAAAAAAGATCAGATGGGAGCCCCAAATCACACTTGATTGCTGATAGACGCTGAGTTCCAAGCCTGCAGCTTAGGGTGAGCTGAGTGCAAGCCTGCCCCAGAGCCCCCACGCCAGGCACCTGCTCCCGTGTGGCAGCACAGGCCCAGAGGGGGCCCGTATGCAGGCTGCTCCCATGAGGACAGAGACGGCCCAGGAGCTAAGCGTTGCTGCAGCTGTGTCCCAGTGACCCAGAGGCAGAGGGAGGCCATGGCCAGAGTCGTGGCACTCCCTCCACGTGGAAGGAGGAGAGGCCAGGTGTCCCGGGAAGGCCTCCCAGGGCCGTGGAGAGACCCCGAGGTGCACTGACCCACACAGGTTCAGGTCTCCTGCCAGTTAGGGCTGTCAAGGTGCGAGTGCTATCACACGGAGGCCACCGATCCCTGAGTCCCTGCCGGGGCGCCTGCAGCCCTCCAGTGGGGTTTGGCCAGGGCACGCTCTCTCTGGTGTCTCAGTTGCTGGCCAGCCCATCAAGTGGCAGCCACAGCTGATCATCGTGGAGATGGCTCTCTCTGCATTCCACACAGGCAAATTCATCCACCACCACCCCAGCAGAAAGGGGGCGGGGCAGCAGGGTGGCGCCACCTGCAGTGCCAGCGTCTCCTATGGGTATGGTTCCGGTCTGGCTGCTCCACTTCTCCTCCAGCCTGGGGAAGCAGTAGAGGACGGCCCAAGTGCTTGGGCCCCTGCACAAGACCTGGATAAAGCTCCCAACCTTGGCCTGGCCCAGCCCTGGCCATTACAGCCATTTGGGAAGTGAACCAGCAGATGGAAGACCTCTCTCTGTGTCTGTAACTCTGCCTTTCAAATAAATCAATACATCTTTAAAGAGAGAAGCAGGAAAGGAAAAGCAGCACTGGGACCTTGGCGCTGGGAACGGGCGCCCGGGGCCAGATCCAGAGTAAATACTGAGCAAAGCCTGCTTCCAAAACAGCCCGCCAGGGAGCCGCTGCCGGTGCCAGGGCCAGGGGCGGGGGCCCTGTGCAGGCGAGGGAGGAGGTGAGCAGGGGCCTGGCTGCAGGACAGGCTAGAGAGAAGGGGGTGAGGGGTGAGCGCCACACCGCTCAGAGTGGACCCCAAGCTCCGAGGACTGAACTCACCCAGCAGGGAAAGCATGGGAGCGCAGGCTGAGCCAGGGCTCCGGGCTCTGCTCCGTCCACGAGTCACTCAGTAGCACCGCCCCGCAGAGCTGGCTCGAAAGCCCCACCAGTCACTGGACCTGTACAGTTCCCAAAAGGGAAGGCGGCTTTTTCTACTGTTGTTGTTGTTGTTGTTAATTAATTTATTTATTTGAAATGCAGAGTTACAGAGAGACAGAGAGGTCTTCCATGCACTGGTTCCCTCCCCAAATGGCCAGAGCAGCCAGAGCCGGGCCAGGCTGGAGCCAGGAGCCGGGAGCTTCTTCTGGTCTTCCATGTGCAGGGGCTCAAGCACTTGGGCCATCTCCCACTGCTTTTCTCAGGTGCATTAGGAGGGAGCTGGTTGGGAGTCCATTTTTGTCCTCATTCAAAAAGCAAAGCTTTGCTTGCATTCATGCTAAAGGAATGAGAAGTAGCTCCGGCTGACCCTTTACCCAGCAGTGGGGCCAGGGAGGCCAGCACAGCACAGGATGCTGCACTCCTCCGCCCAGCTCTGGAGGTCATGACATCTGGGAGCCGTGCGTCCAGGCGCGCTCCTGGAGCCCCGTCTAGAGCAGAAAGCGCCCCTCCTGATGAAGGGGAGCCCCGTGCAAGCAGGACACGTGCAGCTCAGAGCCGAGTGCTTTCGAAGCTCCACCAGGCAGGGCGCAGCGCCAGGCTCTTGCGGGGACCCCAGGTGGGCCAGTGTGAGGCCCGGATCTCCGGCAGGAGGCACCCCCTTCCTCCCGCACCCTTTGCACCTCCTCCTCAATGCTTGCACCAGGTGTTCCACCGTTCAGAGGCACCTGCGTGGTAGGCACAGTCACTTCTTTTTGGTTTTTGGCTTTTTTTTTTTTTTTTTTTTTTTTTTTAAGATTTATTTGAAAGGTAGAGTGACAGAATCAATCTTTATCCGCTGGTTCACTCCCCAAATGGCTACAACAGTCAGGCTTGGGCCTGATCAAAGCCAGGAGCCAGGAGCTTCATCCGGGTCTTCCACATGGGTGCAAGGCTCCCACAGGGGCCCAAGCACATGGGCCATCTTCCACTGCCTTCCCAGGCACATTATCAGGGAGTGGGACTGGAAGTGGAGCAGCCGGGACTCGAACCAGTGCTCTGATAGGGGATGCCGGGATCACAGGCAGCAGCTTAACCTGTTGCGCCACATTGCTGGCCCCCTGACTTCTTTTTTGGTGCCTACTTGGAGCCCTATATTATAGAAAAATCCGTGGGAAATGCAGCCCCTATGGGGAAAATGCCTAGGATTCAAAAGTGCACCAAAATAATTTTTTTTAAGATTATTTATTTGAAAGTCAGAGTTACACAGAGAGGAGAGGCAGAGAGAGAGAGAGAGAGGCAGAGAGAGAGAGAGAGAGAGAGAGGCAGAGAGAGAGAGAGAGAGGCAGAGAGAGAGAGAGAGAGAGAGAGAGAGAGGTCTTCCATCTGCTGGCTCACTTCCCAATAGGCCACAATGGCCGGAGCTGTGCTGATCCGAAGCCAGGAGCCAGGAGCTTCTTCCGGGTCTCCCACGCAAGTGCAGGGGCCCAAGGACTTGGGCTACCTTCTACTGCTTTCCCAGGGCATAGCAGAGAGCTGGATTGGAAGAGGAGCAGCCAGGACTAGAACCGGCGCCCATATGGGATGCTGGCGCTTCAGGCCAGGACATTAACCCTCTGGGCCACAGCGCCAGCCCCCGAAATAAACTTTTAACTCCATTTTCTGTAGACTCTGAGAAGCCCCCATGCACACTTTACACCTCCGTGAGGAAGTTACTGCTCCCTCCATTGTCCAACAAGAGCACCGACCCTCAGAGAGCTTCGCAGGTGGCACAGGTGGCACAGCGGCTCACCTGGCTCCAAAGAGCCCCCACCCTGTCTGGGACCTGGCTGAGCCCAGAATCTGAGCTGTCCGTCCAGCTTCCCACCTCCAGGCAGGGTGGGCGGCGGGGGCTTCCCCCATTGGCATTCGCACTGCCATGGGGCCCGGAAACCAGTGGAGCAGGGCTGTCCTCACAGCACAGGGCCCAGGAAGCTGCCCCCGCCCACCCCTGGGGACACAGCTGGGCTGGCTGTGCCAGCTCCCCCGAGAGCCGCTCTTCCAGCAGCCTTGGTTAGCAGGGGCTAACGCCTGGACAGACACCTGAGCCCTGCTCTGGGGGCACGGTGGGCCGGGGGCACTCCCCAGGGCTCCAGAGTGGGCAAGGCCAGGACCCTCCTGGGACTGCTGCCTTCTGCAGGGACCCCCACCCCCCCCACCCGCAGGCCTGCAGGAGCCTCATAATGGTCACAGGAAATAGAATCAAAAGATACAGTTTTGGTGCAAAAAAAAATACTTATGCATATATATTTTTTGTAATACATATCATGAATTTCTGGGTGCCGCCCATGCACAGATCTCAGTTTTTTTGCATCAGAACAAATTTTACTTTGAATTCCATTTTCGGTGACCTTCCCACAGGCCCCGCCCCTGTGTTCACTCTGCTGGTCACACGACCCTCCCCCGGTGTCCTTTCAGAGGAGGGGCCTCTCTGAGAACTAGAATTTGCCCCACGCGGGGCCACCTCGCCCGTGCATCCTCCCCGCGTCCGCGGGGCCACCTCGGGCCCGTGCGTCCTCCCCGAGTCTGCGCGTCCCCACGCGTGGCCACCTCGGCCCGTGCGTCCTCCCCGCGTCTGCGCGTCCCCTCGCAGGGCCACCTCGGACCCATGCATCCTCCCCGCGTCCACACGTCCCCTCGCGGGGCCACCTCGGGCCCGTGCATCCTCCCCGCGTCCGCGCGTCCCCTCGCGGGGCCACCTCGGGCCCGCGGCCCAGGCTGGCCAGGGGGGGCATGGCGCCAGCAGGGGGCGCTCCCGGGCCGGGCCTGGGCGCGTGGGGAATCCTCGGGCCCCGGGCTGGCGCCACGCAGACGGCCACGCGCATCCCTCCTCACGCGCGGCCCGCTTCTGTCTCGCAGGTCTCGGATCCGCAGAGAACTGTTCATCGAGGAGATCCAGGCCGGGAGCCAGGGCCAGGCGGGCGCCAGCGACTCGCCGTCGGCCCGAAGCGGCCGCGCCGCGCCCAGCTCGGAGGGCGACAGCTGCGACGGCGTGGAGGCCGCCGAGGGCCCGGGCGCCGCCGACGAGGAGCCGGGCGGCCCCGCGGCCGCCGCCAAGTCTCAGGGAGGGCCGGCCGAGGCGGCCGCGGCCCCGGCCGAGCGGGAGGAGGCGCCGCGGCCCGCGGAGAAGACGGAGCCGCCGCCCGCGGGGCCCGCGGGCCCGGACGACGCCCAGGACGCGGGCCGGCCCAGGCCGCCGCCCGAGGCCCCAGCGGACGGCCCGCGGCCCGTGCCAAACCCCGCCGCCGCGGCCGGGGAGGACGCCGCTACCTCAGCCGCGCGGCCCGCCGAGGGGAGTTCCGCGTTGCCAAGCACCAGCGCGCCGGCCGCCCGCAGGCCCAGCTCGCTGCAGAGCCTCTTCGGCCTCCCGGAGGCGGCGGGCGCCAGGGACTCGCGAGACAACCCCTTGAGGAAGAAGAAGGCCGCGAACTTGAACAGCATAATCCACCGCCTGGAGAAGGCCGCCAGCCGGGAGGAGCCCATCGAATGGGAGTTCTGAGGGCCGCCACGCGCCGGGCCGGCCCGGCCCAGCCCGCCCCGCCGAGCCCGCGCGAGAGGCCCGGCCGGGGCGGGGCCGGGGCGGGGCCGGGGCGGGGCCGGGGCGGGGCCTGGCGGCAGTGGGGCTGAGGCCGGGGCGGGGCCGGGGCGGAGCCGGGCGGCGGCGGGGCGGGCGCCGGCTCCCGCGGCCCGGACCGAGTTGCGCACTTCAGCGCCCTGCGGGCCACAGGGCAAAATCGCCATAGGCCAAGGTGCATATAGAAAACAGGAGCATTAAGCCCAATCTATGTCGTGTTTTCAAGGAAGAAAACGGAAATGTGTAGTCGAGCTTTTTTGTACCCTGAAGTGTTTTTTTATTGCCCTAAGTGATTTCCACAGGTTCTGGAATAACTCTTACAGCTTTGCCTTGTGCCCTCCTCGTGGTGTGGGCTAAAAAAAAAAAAAAAAAATCAAACCCACATATGAAAAGGGGGCTTTTTATCCGCCATCTAATGGCTTCAGAGCGATAATACACTATTATCTTCTTAAACCAGGAAGGGGGGGAGGGGGTTTTTCAGAAAAAAAAATTTAAAAAAAGAAAGTTTTTGTAGCTGTTCAGTTGCCACTAAGAGATTGCACAGTCAAACCGACTCTAAACACACTAGTTTGGATTCCTAAATATTTTCAAGAAAAGAATCTTCTCCTTTGAAACTTTGAATTAAGATTAAAAAAAAAAAAACACACATTTACTCCACCTATTTTTTAACAAAAGAGAAAAGTCACATCAGGAAACTCTGATTTTTGTGGTAGCTGAGGTAGTGTTTTCTTGGACGTGAATAGAATCCTGACACGTAGTGCACATTGATCCATAGCTTTAACTGACCCTGGGCTTTTCCGGCTGGGGTCTGTTTAATACACTCCATTCTAGGCCAAATCAGGACAGAAAAAAAGAAAAAAAAAAAAAAGAAAAAAAAAAGATCCGAATCTAGGTATTTTATAATCTGCTTTTTAACCTCTAACCACAGAGCACGCTGATCAGACCTCATATGGAGGTTTAGGAGACAAGTTAGAACTGTAGCATGTTCCTGTTCATCTTTGTTTAATTTATGCTGTCTGCGTCCGTGGTGGTGCGTCTGCACGTGTGCCAGCCTCAAGAGAAAGCAAGAAATGGGTGGGCCCCCGGGTGGCAGAAGGCACCTCCCCTCCTCTCGCCCCCCCTCCCTCCAGGGACGCAGCTCCCTGGGCCTGGGCAGCCCCCCCCCCCCCGCGTACTCCCTCTGTCCCCCTTCTTCCCACCGAAAGCACTGATGGCCCTGTTGACCTCGTGGGAAGCTCCCTTCCCCTGGAGGAGAGCGCGCGGGGCGGCCTGGCTCCACTCCCACCCCCGCAGAGGCGGCCCAGACTCCCGGCGGCGCTCCTCAGGCCCGGGCGGGCCATTTGCCCTTCCTCCATTTTGCCTCTTGGGAAGTTGCTTTATGCACAGTTTAGGGCAGTCTAAGTACAAATCACAAGTCTAACTTGTCTCTGACTCCTCCTGTTGTCTATGTGTAGATGCGTGAGACTAGAGGCGGGTGCGAGTGTGCGTGAGCGTGCGTGTGTGCAATTTTATACGTCTGTGTATTTTCTTAAGTACCTGTGCACACATAGAGAGTGCATTACTGCCACGTTTTTTCAATAAGCTGTTTTATCAGTTATGGCTTCTACAAGTTGGCTAATTTACACTCCTTTATTGCCATATCTTTAAACTAACAATAGATGATTTCGGTATATATATATATTTTTTTTTGCTTATTTATAGGTGCTGTATTTTATTATCTGATTGTTAGGAAGGGATGAGAGGGGCAAATATTCTTTAGAGGGGTAGACTGCCGGCAGTATTGGGTATAATTTACAAGATGTAGTCGTCATACTGTATATTACTGATTGAAAACGTATTGTGTATCATTGAAACCTTTGTCTTAGGTCAACATCTTTGGATGACATTTTAATGGTGCATTCATTATTTCTTAAGTTTAATTAATATTACTTTTTTTTTGATTGGGGGGGGTGGGAGGGAGTTCCGGTTTTACAGGTATGCTCCCGCTGTTACACCTCTGTGTGCTTGTCGTTGATTAACTTGTAGGACTTTGACTGTAAGATGTGAAACCACATTTCTTGCATGACGTTTTTAGAAATTACGGATTTCCTTTACAGTCTAGTGAACCTGCAGCCGCAGCGTTTAGTGGACGCTTTCACAGATCTAGGAGTCACTACACGGAAAGACACTGCCCGTTGGTGGACGTGAGGTCTTCAGAAGGCTCTAGGAGGCTGGGAGGCAGGCCGTGTGGTCGTCTCTGGACGGCTGCGCGGTTCCGGAACTGGAAATCGGGTTCCGCGAGACGGGCGTTGGAGAGGGAGGCTTGGAAGGGGAAGCGGGTTGGACACCGGGCTGGACTCGGGTGCGAGTTAGGAAGTGTAGGTCCCTGGAGGGCGCGGTCTCTGCAGCTCTCTGTGTCCGGTTCAGTGGGAACTGGCTGGCGGGGGATTGTGGCGCGACCATTACCTGCCCCGGGTTCAGTGGGAAGAGCCTGAGAAGTGTGGATTTGTCCACCCCAGTGGCCAAGCAGTCCGACAGCCATTCGGCTCTTCTAAGCAATTTAGCCCTGTTCTCTTTCTTTTCTTCAATTTTAATTTTTAACCAGATTGTTGTTGATTTCCATTCTGTCTACTTTTTTTGGTCTTTTTTTTTTTACTTTTGGCCAGACTTACATCTGGGTGCTCGATACAATCAGTTGGTTAAATTTTGCTTGCAGTTCTGTGTTTATGTTTTTTTCTTATTATTTATTTTATTATTTTTTTTTGAAATTGAGATCCCCAACCTCACACTCTTTTGTGTTAGGCTATCACTGTCGTATTTCTATGAGCTGCCACTAAGTAACAGAAACTGGGGCAGGAGTGCACCCCCCTCCCCCTCCGTGCTGGCCCTGAACCCCGGGCGGGCGCCTGCAGGTTCACCTCTGGTCTCGAAAAGCAATATTCAAGTGCCTTGAATAGCGCCCCCTCCGCGTGGTTAACCCCACCCTCCCACACCCCACCCCGCTGGCTGGCCATCCAAGCAGTAGCTCCCCCAGGCAGCCCGCCCCCACCCCTCCTCCTCCTCCCCCGCCCTGCTCTGTCAGCTTCAAAAGCTGGACAGGGCCCTCCCCTGGGGAAAGCACCTCCACTCAGAACACTAACGCTTAGCCACGAGGCTCCGCTGTACCACGTGCGGCCGCCTCTCGGTGCTCACTAGAGGGGCCCCGGCCGTGGTCAGCCTCCCGACGCTCGGCTCCCGCCCAGGAAAGGAAACGTGGAAGCGTCCAGTTTCTGTCCCCTAGACCTCTCTCTAGAGAGGATTAGCACAGCCCTTGAGCCAGCGCCACACGCGGGGGCCTTGGACCGTGCGGCCCCGGGCCACAGTCACTTCCCTAGGTCCTTCCGAAGCACAAACGCCTCCCTCCCGGCTTCCTTCCTGTCGCCATCTCTGTTCTCACCTCCCTGTCCACCCCGGATGTTTAGGTCGGCTGGCCGTCAGGCCGGGCCTGGGGCTGAAGGCAACAGAGGTCGGGCACTGCAGCCCCCAGCCCAGGCTGACCAACCCTGTCTGCTCCCAGGGCCAGGCCCCAGCCAGCAGAGCGGGAGGCGGGATGTGTGCGCCGCAGAGGGAAGGCGCCAGGTGTGGCCGCCTGCCCTGAGAGCTGGGGACGGGCGTGAGCAGGTGGGCTTGCTTACAGGCAGGTGCCTTCCCGGCCTAGGTAGGCCCCGATGTCCATTCCTGCTGAGCGTGCGTCCTGTCGGTTGTGCGGCGGCCGTCTGTGACCTATGTGGACCTTCTATGCAACGCTGTCCATTGCTGAGAGCTGGCAGGGGAGCCAAGGGCAAGACGCGCCATCCGTGTGGGATCAGCACCAAGTCCAGGGAGGGGGTGATGACGGGCAAGACCCGGACCGAGCCTTGGCCTTAAACGCACCGGCAGGCGCCCCTCCACGGGGCCCGTGGGAGGCGAAGGCTGTGCGGGGCAGGCCCGAGAGGCGGCTCCTGTCCCTCACACTCCTTGCTCGCTCGTCCCCTTCTACCTCACTAACCTGTGCTCCCTGTGTGCTGTAGCGCCTCGTGGCGGGCGGGGGTGGGGGGCATCTCGGCCTGGTGGGTGGGTTTATCGTGTGGCTGGAACCAGTGGCGGCGGGGCTTCTGGGAGGCGCGTGGGGTTGGCTCTTGACTTGCACCTGTCCCTGAGGCTCTCGAAGCTGTGTGCCCCACGGCGGGGCGTGCGTGGTCTCGGGCCAGGGAGGCGCCGTCTTTGGTCCCGTGTTGTTTCCTGCCTTCCCTGCTCAGCTGTTCCTGTCCATCCCCACCCTGACCCTGGCCCTGGCCCTGGGCTGCCCTCCCCACTGCCCCAAACCCTGTGTCTGTCCTGTCTCCAGCACTGGCAGGGGTCCTAGTTTGATGTCACCACCAGCTCTCCCCTGCCAACACCAGCCGTCCCGAGGACGGGAAAGGGTCTCTGACCACATGACCCTTTCTTCCCAATAGCATGAACCTGCTTCTGCCCAGAGCCAAAGGACACCAGCCCCCAGGCTGCTGGCCGCCTGCGGGGGCACCGGCTCCCGTGCTCGGGGTAGAGATGGGGAGACGCAAGGGTCTGGCGTTATCCGGGGAACGCGGACGCGCTTCTGTGCTGTCTGGGGCAGGGAGGGGGGTGTCCCGACCACCAGGGCTGGGTGGAGGCTGACAGTTCCAGCTTCCTGTCTGGCTCGCACACCTGTGCGCTGAGAGTGATCTGCTTTGACAAAACTGCTCCCAGCCCCGTCCCGTTCTGCCTTTCTGTAGATGAAAATTTCCAGGGAAAAGGCAAGTCCCCAGTTACCGAGTTCCAAAAAGAGCCCAGCCTGTGAAACCCTTAGAGGTGGGGCGGAAGCCCCAGCCAGGACCCTCAGGGTCTGTCCCGGCGGACAGGGAGAGGGAACGGGGAGCCACGGGCTTGCGCACCCCACTCCCAGTCGGCGACAGAGAAGGGAATGCGCCTTCGTCCTGTCTGCTCCACTCCCAGGGCCTGTCCCTTCCCTCCCGGCACCCCCCAACCCCTCCACACACACACACGCACGCACACTCCCGCGCCCCAGATCCCAGGTCCCCGGCGTCAGTGGCATCTTGTTGAGTTTTGGTGTTTGGATGACATTTAGCTTTAACAAGACATTTTCCCAAAGCGCCCGGTCTCCCAAATGCTAACTTGAAAAGTTGGGCATTGTAGGTGTAGAATCCTGAGTCTTCAGGCGAGTGTGAGTGACAAACGCGAGGCTATGCAGACGTGTGCACTGCCCCCCCCCGGCCCCCCACGACCCTCACCTTCTCTAATGCCTTTGCGTTGCTTTCCGTGGGTCATTTGCGTTTGTTCAGAGACGTCCCGACGTCAAGGCTGCAGTACTGTAATTCCCGTAGTGTGTCTAGGCTTTCATTTCTCCCGCAGAATATGCTGTGTGTTTCATGTCAAGCTTTCTGTAATCAGAAAGAAAAAGGTGCCTTATACCCCAATGTCACGGCCGCACCCCTCTGGCAAGCACTCACAAGCACAGCGTGGACAGAAGCTCTGGGGGCCCCTCCCGGGGACAGGGACGGCATCCGGCACCACGCACCCAGGTGGCGCGGGGCTGAGGCCGTCAGTTCACGATTCCCGCCGCTCTCCCCTTTTCTCTTTGTTGTCCTTTTTTTTTTTTCCCCTCCCTCTGTGGTTTGCTTTAAACAGAAAGCACTTAAGTAGATGAGTGCGTGTGAGAGCTCTGTGCAATAGATGTCGTGCCCCTGGGTCTGTAAGCGCTAACGTGTTGCACACCAAATGACCCCCAAGGCAGCTTTGCAGCAGGCTGACAGGTCATGGATGAGGCCGTTGACGGGCCCGAGGGGGAACAGGCCTCCCTCACCCCCTCCAGCCTCCCAGCGCACCCCTGGCTGACCGCCGAGCCGGGGGGGCACGTGTGCAGGGCCCCCCGGGGCTCTGGCCCCAGCTGCTGGCCTGGGCGGGCCTGGGCGGGGAGCAGCTGAGAACCTTCCCGAGTGTCTATGAGACCTCGGCCACCCCTCCCTGCGCTTACCCTTGTCATGTGGAGACGGACTTTCTGCTACTGACCGGCCCGCGTGCGTGATCATGGGATGTTTCCTCGAAGGGGGGAGAAGAAAGAAGCGCTATCTGTCTAGCCTCTTCTATTTATTTTTGGGTTGATGGTCGAAGTCCCTATCAGGGCCATGTTGTGTCGTGACGTCGTCGTTATAAACGGTTTTTGCTGTCACTCCGGTGGTCGTTGCCCTCTGCCTCCGCCCTCCCCTCCCCCAGAGAACTGAAGAGTGTTGGGGGGGAGTGCCAGGGGGAGGGGCGCCCAGGGGTTCGCCCCCCCCCCCAGCAGAACAGGCTCCTGAGTGGCCTCCACGTGTCTAACGGTTAGGAACCAGAGTTCACGAACAAAAGCCCACCTGTGTGCGGAAGTGCCAGGCGGGGCCGGGGGGTGGGGGGTCGTGTGGTGGGGGCTGGAGGGGGGGCACGGAGGAAGCTCAGGTCCCCCGAAGCCTCCTAGAGCCTCTGTGACGCCTTCTAGGTTCAGGAAGTTGGGGCGTGCACCCCCCGGGGCCGCCATGTGTGGGTAGGTTTCTACAGCCCCGGTCGGTCGGGGTGTGGGGCTCCGAGGCTCCCGGAGCACGAGGGCGGCTGAGGCTGATGGCGGAGCTCTCGGCCCAGCAGGAGGAGGCCCACCCCAGTCCTTCTGGGCTCTGACCTTGACCTTGACCTTCTCTGAAATGGGGGGGAGGGGCCTGATTGTGTTCTGTTTCTTTGAAAGAAAGTCCTCCACTGAAGTCATGGCCTCCATCCCCCCCCACCCCACCCCCGCCTCAAGGATTTTTATTTTATTTTTCTATGATTAGTCTATGCATTTCTTCTCCACCCGCCCCCACCCGGTGTTCTGCCTGTCCTGTGGAGGAGACGGGCGTCTCATGTCCCACCCTCTGAGACCACCTCCCCCCCAACCTCAGAAAATGCTGTGCATTTCGGAGACGTGAGAATTCCTGAAAAAGATTCTTCAAGCATTTGAGAATAACTAAGAAGGGGGTGGGGAGCCACGCGGCCGCCCCCGCCCCGCCCCGCGCCCCGTCCTCCCGTGCAATAACTACTCAGCAAGCGGGGCCGCCGGCCCTCCCTAGACTACTAGCGGCACGAGAGGCGACAGCCCGGCTCAGCGCCCCGCGCCCCGCGCCCCGCGGCGTCTACACCCGAGCAGTATTTTCTGTCTTCTGTAGCGCGCTAAGTCTTACATGTTCTCAGAGCCCGTTGGTTAAGACTCAACACCGACCACAGGCCATCTTCCTTTACTTCTCACAGAGACTCCAATTGACCAAAAAGGAAAAAAAAAAAAAAAAAAAGGAAAAAAAAGGGCGTCTCTTTTTTCCTTTTTTTTTTTTTTACATGAATAGCTTTGAGAAGCCTCAGCTGTGTGACCGCAACTCATCTCCGATAAGATTTTATTTCTTTGTTTTCCACACTGAGTCGAGTCGATCCGGCTGGCGTGGGGGGGGAGGGGTGTACCCGTCGGCGCTCTGGCATTGTCTCTCTGTCTTTGGTTAGCCATAGATGTTTGTTCTCAGCACTGTACAAGGTCCCTATGTGACACGGAGAAGCAATACCACTGAATGAAACTCACACCATGTATTACCCACTAGCACCCTAGGTGTGATCATTGAAGTAAATATCTTTTATACAAACACAAGCACGTGTGGGTTGTTTTTGTTCACAGTGGCCCGGCCCGAGGACAAGCAGCAAACACTGACCTCTGGGGTCTGGGGAGAGGAAGTCGGGGTGGCGTGGGCCGGGGGGGGGGGGGGGGGGGGCTCTTGGAGAATTTGCTGGGGGGTGGGGCTGGCTGCGGGAACCTGGGGCGCCGGTTCTGTGTCCTGCTGCTGTCACCCTTGCTGTCAGTGCCCTTGAGCCGAGCTCTTGGCCCCCCTCGGTGGCCTCCACGTTCCCCCTCTGCGCCCCAGGGGACCCGGCACCTGTGTCGCTGGCTCACGGTGCTGAGAGGGGCCTGGCTGACCGGGTGCCTGGCCTGGCCGCGGCCCGTTCCGTGAGGTCTCGCTTTGCCGTGAAGGACGGCAAGCCAGGTCCTCCCCCGTCCCCTTGGTGGTGGCGGGTGAGCCAGAAGGGGACGGAGGGGCAGCGTCTTGTGGGTTTCTGGAATAATGGCTCCAGAGAGGGGAGCTGGCCAGTGCGCGGGGCTGGGGGCGGGGGCTGCAGAGCTGGCCGCGGGGCTGGGCTGGGGGCTTGTGGCTCTGGAGGGGTTGTCCCCTGAAGGTCTGTTGTGTCGGAAGGGACTCGCGTGGTTGGTTGGGAGCTGTCACTATGTTCTTTAAAAAGAAAAGTTTATTTGAAAGACAGAGAGAGGTCTTCATCAGCTGGTTCACTCCCCAAATGCCATGATGGGGGTGGGGGGGTGCTGGCAAGGGTGAAGCCAGGAGCCAGGAGCTTTTTCCGGGTCTCCCACGCGGGTGCAGGGGCCCAAGGACTTGGCCCATCCTCCACTGCCTTCCCAGGTGCATTAGCAGGCTGGATTGGAAGCAGAGTGGCTGGGACTCGAACCAGCACTCCGATATGGGATGCCGGCGTCACAGGTGACGTCTCAGCTGGTCGCCAGGGGAAGGGGGTGTTTCTGAAGGGGTCCAAGCACCAGCCTCTCAGGTGGGAGTAATCTCGATGGGACCCTAAAAGTTCCGCTGGTGCAGATAAGGTACATCAAACTCAGCTTAAGATTTACTGTATTTATTTGAAAGGCAGAATTAGAGAGAGAGAGAGAGGGATCTTCCATCTGCTGGTTCACTCCCCAGTTGGCTCCAAAGGCCAGGGCTGGGCCAGGCCAAAGCCAGGAACCTGGAACTCCATCCGGGTCTCCCATGTGGATGGCAGGGACCCCAGCACTTGGCCCGTCCTCCACTGCCGTCCCAGGCACATTAGCAGGGAGCTGGCTGGGAAGTGCAGCAGTGGGAACTGGCGCTCATATGGGATGTGGGCGTCTGGCGTTGGCTTGACCGGCGGCACCATGGCGCAGTCAGCCCTGCCCCTGGCCACCTCCCTTCCCGACAACCGCATGGGTCTGAGCAGAATCGGGCTTTGTCTGGCGTTCCGAGGAAGCGTGGTTACAGCCCTCCAGGGCGGCGTGAGGCATAGTGCACCTGGGAGCCCCAGCAAGTTCGTGGGAAGTAGAGAGAGATGATAACTTCATTTTGGCACAGAACCACTCTGAAACCCACACAGGGCCGCGCGGTGGTGCAGCAGCTGAAGCCGCTGCCTGAGACACCAGGATCCCATGGGGGCGCCCAGCCGAGTCCCAGCTGCTTGGCTCCCCACCCAGCTCCCAGCAGCCGATGGCTCAAGAGCTTGGGTCCCTGCACCCACATGGGAGACCCGGATAGAGGTCCAGGCTCCTGGCTTCAGCCTCTGCCACTGCAGCCACTGGGGAAGTGAACCAGCAGATAGAAGATCTCTCTCTCTCTCTCTCTCTCTGTAACTCTGCCTTTCAAAGAAAATATTTTTTTTTTTTGACAGGCAGAGTGGACAGTGAGAGAGAGACAGAGAGAAAGGTCTTCCTTTGCCGTTGGTTCACCCTCCAATGGCCGCCACGGGTGGCGCGCTGTGGCCGGCACACCACGCTGATCCGATGGCAGGAGCCAGGTGCTTCTCCTGGTCTCCCATGGGGTGCAGGGCCCAAGCACTTGGGCCATCCTCCACTGCACTCCCTGGCCACAGCAGAGAGCTGGCCTGGAAGAGGGGCAACCGGGACAGAATCCGGCGCCCCGACCAGGACTAGAACCCGGAGTGCCGGCGCCGCAAGGCGGAGGATTAGCCTAGTGAGCCACGGCGCTGGCAAAATAAATAATTTTTAATAATCCACTTATTTAAGGACAGAAGAAATCCCTGCACAGTTTCTATGTCATATACATCGGCACCTGCGTTAGACCACGGGCGGTCCCCCCGCCCCCGTGCCTGTGTTTAAAAGGATGCCCAGTGGCTGCCCACTGACACGGGCCCAACCACCCAGTGTGGAGCCGCCCATCTCCACATGTGGGACCTTCGGGAAGGTCATGTGAAAGGCATATTACAAAAAGACGGTGCGCGGAGCTCAGACTTCTTTATTTGAAAGAGAGAAAGAAATGTTCCATCGCTAAATGCCTGCAACGGCCAGGTCCAGGCCAGGCTGAGGCCCAGAACCCAGAACAGCATCCTTGTGTCCCACAAGGGCAGCAGGGACCCTAGGACTGGGGCCACGATCCGCTGCCTTCCCAGGTGCATTAGCAGGAAGCTGGATCAGACTTGAACCAGCGACCCCGCCCTACATGGGATGCCAGTGTCAAAAATGGTGTCGAGGCTCAATAGGCTAATCCTCCGCCTGTGGCACCGGCACCCCGGGTTCTAATTCCAGTTGGGGCGCCGGTTCTGTCCCGGTTGCTCCTCTCCCAGTCCAGCTGTGGCCCGGGAGTGCAGTGGAGGATGGCCCAGGTCCTTGGGCCCTGCACCCGCATGGGAGACCAGGAGAAGCACCTGGCTCCTGGCACCGGCCGCAGCGGCCATTGCGGGGTGAACCAACAGAAAAGGAAGACCTTTCTCTCTCTCTCTCTCTCTCTCACTGTCCACTCTGCCTGTCAAAAAAAAAAAAAAAAATGGTGGCGTAACCCACTGCCAGCCATGACGCCAGCTCATAATATGCTTCTTTGTACAAGATTTGTTTGTGTATTTGAAAGGCAGAGTTACAGAGAGGCAGAGGCAGAGAGGGGTGGGGAGAGAGAGACAGAGCGAGGTCTTCCATCCACTGGTTCACTCCCCAAAGGGCTGCAACAGCTGGAGCTGAACCAATCCGAGACCAGAAGCCAGGAGCTTCCTCCAGGTCTCCCATGTGGGTGCAGGGGCCCAGGCATTTGGGCCACTTCCACTGCTTTCCCAGGCCTTTAGCAGGGAGCTGGATCGGAAGTGGAGCAGCTGGGACTCGAACCAGCACCCATATGGATGCCAGCGCTGCAGGCTGGGGCTTTAACCCACTGTGCCACAGCATAGGCCCCGCCACACATCTTTTAATTTCATTTTTTTTCCATGAGATCCTTGAAGCCCCGTCATGGGGGTGGGGGCCCAGCCCGTGCCCAGCCCGTGCCCAGCCACCAGCAGGTGTCCCGACGTTCTGTCTTTGACAAGGAGTTCTGACTCGGGGCCTTGGTCGTTTCCAGCAGGGTGCTGTGTTAACAGCAGAGCTGCTTTGCTTGGTGCTGTGGGGGGCCCTGGGGAGTGAGGTCTGAGGACCCCACGCATCTCGGGGGTCGGGTTATGCCGCAACGCAGTCCCCGGCATCTTCTCCCAGCAGCTGCCGGCCTTGGTCGACCCTTCCCTGAAAGAACAAGTGGGTGTGTCTTCCTCGCGCTGGGGCAGGGCCATAAGAGGGTCACGAGACCCCTCTGGACCCATGCCACCCACGGGTGAGTTGCGGCTGCCAGCGAGAGGAGCTCATGGCTTCCTCTTGCGGTTGCGGGAGCCACTCTCTGCCATCAAGGGCATGGCTCTCGGGACCAGGTGCGTCGGCAGCCCGGCAGATGCGACCAGCAGCTGTTGAGGCCAGGCCCTGGTCTCTGGGGCTGCTGTATCCGGCAGATGCTGGCTAAGGCCCGCTCCGGGCCGGTGCTGTGCTCCAGACTCGGTGTCCAGAGGTCTCGATCACTCGGCAGCCCGGAGTGGAGACAGCGCAGGCTGTAGGACGGCAACTCAGGTCGTGGCCCATTGTCTGCACCGACATGGACAAGGGCCAGAGGGCTCTGCGGCGGTGGCCTTGAAACAGGAAGAGGCATTGACAGGCCAGGAGGACAGCAGGTGCACGGGGGACAGCAGGTGCACAAGGGCCAGGCGAAACCTGGGACCCACAAGCAGCTGTGCCGGGCAGGGTGGCGCCAGGGGCAGGAGGCTGGTGCCGCTGGGAGTGTCTGTCCCCAGCCATGTCTGTGGGGAGGGGCCGCAGTGGAGGAGGGCCGGCCCATGCCTCCGGGCAAGTGTGCGCTGGTTGGCATGGGTGCAGGGCGGCCCCCGGGGCCCTGCTGTTGGGGGGAGGGGGCTGCGGCCTTGCGGGGGTGCTGCCACAGCCTTGGGCACTGGAGTCATTGTGGGAGGAGCTACCAGTGGCATAGCCCCAATAACAGGCCTGGAAGGTGATCGGTGCAGTGGGAGAAAAGGCAAGGGGCCAGGATCGGAAGAGCCATAGAGAGGTTCCAGTTAGACCCTGGCATCTGAACAGTGTTGGCAGAGGGGAGGGAAGAGCGGCACGTGCAAAGGCCCTGTGCTTGTGTCGGGAAGCCAGCACGGGCGTGGGAGGCGAGGAGGTGGGCGGGACGAGGGAGAGGCAGAGCGCGTGGGCCTTGGCTTTTACTCTGAGCGACTCAGAAGCCGCTGAGCGCGCGAACAGAGGCTGGTCTAGTCTCCCTGAGACTCTGGGAGATGTTGCTGAATGGCCCACAGGGGGGCAGTGGTGAGAAGCGGCTGGATCCTGGGACTGTGCGTGGAGGAGAGAACCAGAAATGAACCTGAGAGACAGAGATTTTGGGAGCGCCCCACCCCAGGGTTCCACCTGTGCCGAATAAACGGGGCTGGACCCCAGCGGCAGGGAATGGAGCTAAGGCTTCCAAGTGCAGGCGCCCCCCAAGAGGGGGTGAACTGACTGCCTCCCCCCTGCAGGCCCCGCTGGCA